TTCCCCGAGGTGGCCCTGTAGGTTGCCCGGTTCGGACCAACACTCAGGGGATCACTGGCCTGGGGGGTTTAAAATAAAGATGACCCTTGAGTCTGCAGAACCCAAGGGAAAGGTATAGGTGGTAGGTAGGCAAATGTTAAAACCAAGGTTGGGCCTTGCTGGAGGAGTTTTATTCAAGGCAAACTGTCAAGGGGGTCCCATAACCCCAACCGCGTAAGGAACGCAAAATCAAGGAACATAACACCGGTATGACGGAAACTAGGACGGCAAGAGTGGAACAAAACACTAGGCATAAGGTCGAGACTTCCACTCTTTACCAGGTATATAGATGCATTAATTAAAATTAAGAGATATTGTGATATCCCAACATAATCATGTTCCAACATGGAGCAATCTTCAACTTCACTTGCATTTAACAACGCTATAAGAGGGGGCTGAGCAAAAGCGGTAACATAGCCAAACAACGGTTTGCTAGGAAGGTGGGTTAGAGGCTTGACATGGCAATATGGGAGGCATGATAAACAAGTGGTAGGAAGTGCGACATAGCGATAGAACGAACAACTAGCAAGCAAAGATGAAGTAATATCGAGGGTAATGGTCATCTTGCATGAAATCCCGCAAGGAAGAAGAACGAGTCCATGAAGTATACGAACCAACATAGTCGAACAAATCCTCACAAACGCAACGTTACCGGAACTATCAAGGGGAAGTGCAACCGAAAATAAGCAAACAACATGGTAAACAACCATCACATAAGCATGGCATGATGCAAAATCAAGTATGATGCATGTCCGGTTTAATGAGGCATGGCATGGCAAAGTGCAACAAACAATACTACAAGTTAAGTGGAGCTCAATATGGAACGAGTTGCATATTGACGAAACACCACATTGGAGTTATTTAGTTCGCTCTCGTTTAGGTACACAACAATATTAAATGTTGTTAAACATGGCAAGAGGTGAAACATAAGTAAACTAACTATTTAGGCAATTTAAATGAGGCCGGAAACAACAAACAACAATTCCGGAAAATCCTCATGTCCATATTTCGAATTTGCTACTGTTCTACCCTAAACCATATTTTAATGTTGTTAAACAGTAAAACAAAGTGCACCAAGTTAAGCTATGCATTTTTTCTAGACAATTTACATGTATAGTTTATTTAATTCGGAGCTACGATTATTTAGTTATGAAATAAAGCATTTTAGCATGTTATTTATGCAAAAACAAAACAAACAACAAGTTAAACATTTTAAACATAGATGAAAGTTGCATATTATGAAAGTACATGAAAAACTAAGCATTTTACATGTTTACATCATTTTAATCCGATGCGCGATTGTGGAGTTATTATATGCATGATATGCAAGGGGTTTTCTGTAAAACTATAATTCTCAGGATAATAGGTAAATTCATCCAGAGGAAAAAAACATGACACTGGCCGAAACTAAGATCTTGCCCAGGGTGCGGGGGGCGGCTGCTCACATCGAGCCTTTAGGTGATAGCCTGGCTTATTAGGGATGATAGACTACTCATATCAATAAGGAATTCCTTCTTTTCCGGGAGCCTTGGAGTAATTTCAGGACGGGTGACTGACCGGGAAGTTGCTCCCGTGTGCGCACAACGTGAGGACAAAGTGCACAGAAAAGATGGGTGACCGACCGGGAAGTTGCTCCTGGATGCGCACAAGTGAGGACAAAGTGCGCAGAAACGACTAATATTGATCTGTGGGGTCGGTCTAGATCCTGCCAGGAGTAACGACCACCGGCGGGTGTGTCTGGGGCGTTACAAGTTGGTATTAGAGCCGATCCTCATGGTTACACGGATGTTTGCGGACAGGTGCACAGTCATGTTGTGCATGATGTTTGTGACCCGTCGTGGCACACGACATGGCACATGTGCCGGACTGGATGCACAGACGTATGTGCCAAGAGGAAATGTTCATGTGGCCCAACGAGGACGTCGATTCCTCTGACTGGGGGTGTATGTGATAGCCTGGCTTATTAGGAATGATAAACTACTCATATCAATAAGGAATTCCTTCTTTTTCGGGAGCCCATTCGGAAAGAACTCCAAAGTTAAGCGTGCTCAAATTGGAGTAATTTCAGGATGGGTGACCGACCGATAAGTTGCTCCCAGGTGCGCACGAGTGAGGACAAAGTACACAGAAAAAAATAGTATTGATCTGTGGGTCCAGTCTAAATCCTGCCAGGAGTAACGACCACCGACAGGTGTGTCCGGGCGTTACAATCTGGCAAGAACTTGAAACATGGACTAGGGCCGAAGCCACCGGAGTAGCTACTTTTTGTGAGTAGTAGGCTAGGGTGCGTTTGTGGAGGCTATGGTAGGATCGTGTGTGATGACTACCTAGCATTGATGTAAACTCTTGTACATATTATTCTACCTTCTATAAAGCTACGGTGGGGTATCCTCTAAAAAAAGAAATACATCATATCTTAGCGTGCTCTTTTAGAAGATACAGTAACCCTAAAATATCTTATAGTGTCGGAAACACTAACTCCCACATGTGTGGGCGTTTTCCAACACGCCCACACGTGTCGATCATCGTCCAGTGCCTTTTGCACGAATCTTGACACGAAAAGGTGGATTTGGTTTGCCACGTAGGACGGGGCTGATGTGTGGGCGTTGGAGAGTTTGCCCACACGCTCGCACCATGCTATTTGTCAGCCGCGCTGTGTGGGCGAACTAGTTTCTGCCCACACATCCAGCCACCTACTTCACGCGCGTGTGGGCGAACTGCTTTTTGCCCACACGACACTCCTACATTGTGGATGGCAACTGCAGTTAGGCGAACGTGACAACTAGGTAAACACGCATGTCAACTGTGATTTTTTGCTAGATGGCAACTGCAGTTGCGCGTACGTGGCAACCAGATAAACAAACATGGCAACTATGATTAACAATACATGACAACTATGGTTAGATCACACGTGTCAACTAGGTAAACACACATGGCAACTATTGTTTGACCATAACTGGCAATTAGTTAATCACACACGCAACTACGGTTTGATTACACGCGGCAACTACCATAAATTAGACATTGTAACTGTAGTTAACCAAAACAGACAGAGTTGCCATGCTTTTACAACTCCACTTGCCATCCCATATAATTACATCTGCCAATCAGGATGGCAACTAAATTGTCATCCAGCGGTGTACCTAACGTAGCTACGCCAGGACGTGTGGGCATTTTTGCTTCGTGCCACACGCGCGGGGTGAAGATGAGTAGTACTTGTTGGCGTGTGGCATTTAATAGCCGCGCCCACACGTGTGGGCAATTCTAATGTTCGCCCACACACAGCTCGTGTGGGCTGCCTCCTCCTCACACCACACACGGTGTATGGGCGCATATCAAATATACCACACGTGTGACAGTTATCGGCGTCAGTTTAGGGAGGGAGTAGATTTTAGATACCCTTGTCCCTCTGGACCATGCCTTGGTACAAAAGACCCCACTAAACGAGGAGTATGCAAGTACAATTAGATGGTGAATAGTAGTATACCCTCAAAGAAGACGGAGTATGATGAATAGCATACTTAATGATTTATTTATTTTTTGCAGAATTCAATGGTCATTTGATGGACCGTATCCAACACTCATACCCCGTATTAGTACCCGAGAAGTGGCTTTCCAGTGGGACGTATGGCCTGTTGTGGGCTTGTGGCCGAGCCAGGCTCGTACAGCAGCAGGCGATCCCCTACCGGCGGCCGGGCCCCGGACTCACCCACCCGGAGATGGCAATATTCAATCCAGCGTCAGTCAGCCATGGAGTAGTTTCAGTACACACACACAGACGTTCTTCCTCCTTCGCACCCTCAATCTCTGAAGGAAATAAAAGAAAGGGGATCCAGCAGCAGGGATGGTGCGAAGACTTTTGACATGCCAGCAGTTAATACGGCCGGCCTCTGCTCTCACTTCATGCCGTTGCTTCCAACGCTTCCTCCTCCTCCTTCTTCTTCCCCTGTGGTGTGGTGTGGTGACCGGTGAGGTGAATTTTTAAATCCGATCAAGTCACCGCCATAAAGAAGGCCCACGTCGGGCGAGATTTACCACTCCCACCCACTGTTCTTTCTTTCTACTGCACCCACGAAGTGTAGACAGAGACACACAGAGGGGAGAGAAAGAGAGAGAAGAAAGATTATTATTAAAAAAGAATAGACAGAATGGAAGAGAAGAGCAAAATGCAAAAGGGAGCGAGAAAATCAGGGGGGAAAGTGGGGTGTTGGAAACGAAGGCCAGGCCAGCCGAGCCGAGCAGAGCGTTCGTTCGTTGTTATAAAGCCGCAACTTGTTCCCTTCCCCCTCCCTCCCCATCTGCTTGCGCTCCCTCATCACTCTCTCTCTCCCCGCCCCGCCCGCCGGATCACCCGCCGGCGTCAGCTCTCTCTCTCTCTCTCCCTACCATCGCCTACGAGCTAGGAGTAGTAGGCTACGAGTGAGTGATAGCCCGCAACTCTGTCCCGCCATTACTCCTCCCTCATAACAGAGGAAGCAGGGAGCAGAGGAGGCGGAGAAGAGCCGGGAAAGAGCACGCCGGCAGGCAAGGCAGAGAGTAATCCTTCCGCTCTGCGGTCGTACCTTCACCCGGGCGGCGCGGCCACCACCACGCTCCTAGGCTCCTAGCTAGCTACTCCTAGCAGCGAGCGAGCCAACAGAGAGCCCACTCCTGCATCAATCGCACAGTAAATTCCGGCGCACCCTGCATTCACTGCCCCGTCCGTCCGGCCGGCCGCGATCTCCGAATATTTACTTCTCCTCCTCCTCCTCGCAAGAAAGGTTCGTCTCTCTTCTCTTCTCTCCGTGCCGGTGTTTCAGAGGCTGCCGCCCCCGTTTCGTTTTATATTGGCCTCTCGCGCTCGTATTGGGCGGAGAGTCTGCCTGCGCTGTCCTCCTGGATCTTGATCCCTCTGCTCTGCTTCGTCCGTACACAGCACACAGCGGAGCGCGGCGTGGTGAGAGAACGGGAGAGAGGAGAAGATGGTGCCCCGCGAGCATGGGGACGAGGCCATCGTGGCGGACGGGCACGGCAAGGAGGAGGAGGTCGGGGTGATGGGCGTGAGCAGCGGCGGCGCGGACGGCGACGAGGAGCAGCACGGCGGCGGCAAGTTCAGCGTCACCAGCTTCCTCTGGCACGGCGGCTCCGTGTGGGACGCCTGGTTCAGCTGCGCCTCCAACCAGGTATGTATGTCTTCCTGAGCATCGATCGCCATGATGTTGAAGAAGAAGACGATGATGATTGACTGATGATGAACGGAATGGGATGGGGTTCTTGTTGCTCGCTTGATTGCAGGTGGCGCAGGTGCTGCTGACGCTGCCCTACTCCTTCTCGCAGCTGGGGATGCTCTCGGGCATCCTGCTGCAGCTCTTCTACGGCTTCCTCGGCAGCTGGACCGCCTACCTCATCAGCGTCCTCTACGTCGAGTACCGCTCCCGCAAGGAGAAGGAGGGCGTCAGCTTCAAGAACCACGTCATCCAGGTACCCACCTCCCCTGCCCCTTCCTGCAATCCATGGCGTGCTCCCCTCCCTCTTCTTCGCTAACGGATTGCAGTTCCCGGCTTCGCCAAACGGACACGCCTTTCTGTCGGCCGCTGCCGATCCCTGGCTGCAAAAATACGAAAATGCTCTCCTTTTTTCAGTGAAAAATAAATAAAAAACGGCCCGCTTCACGCGTTAGATATGCAGTCCCCTCAAGTTGCTTGTCGAACGGAAAGTATGAGTTGCAAATGCAGCGGGCAGAGTTCCTTCCTTAATCCTCCCCTTTTAGTCGCAAGACCAAAACCACATTTGCCCCCAAGTAATGATCACCATGCTTAATGATTCAAGTAGTAGTACAGTACTACTACTAGTACGCATGTACTAGAAACATGATGGAGTGTGAGTAGTGGTAACTGTGGTTGATTAATGGCGAAGCAAGAATTACTAATGAAGCTGCGATGTTGACCTCCCTCGCAGTGGTTCGAGGTGCTTGACGGGCTGCTGGGCCCGTACTGGAAGGCGGCCGGGCTGGCCTTCAACTGCACCTTCCTGCTCTTCGGCACCGTCATCCAGCTCATCGCCTGCGCCAGGTCAGTACTCAGCCGGTCCACCCAACCATCACTCTCATCATCGTACCCCTACCACTGTGTGTCCAGTTCAGTTGCTGAGGGCTGAGACGAGCTAGCTAGTAAATAAACAAACTTTTTTTCTAATTTACTTACAGTAACATCTACTACATCAACGACCGGCTGGACAAGCGGACGTGGACGTACATCTTCGGCGCGTGTTGCGCGACGACGGTGTTCATCCCGTCCTTCCACAACTACCGGATCTGGTCCTTCCTGGGGCTGGGCATGACCACCTACACCGCCTGGTACCTGGCCATCGCCGCGCTCATCAACGGGCAGGTGGAGGGCGTCACCCACACCGGCCCCAACAAGCTCGTCCTCTACTTCACCGGCGCCACCAACATCCTCTACACCTTCGGCGGACACGCAGTCACTGTGTAAGCGACACCAATTTCTCTCTCTCTCTCTCTCTTTTTACAGTTTATTTATCTATCTATCTAGTATTTGTTTGCTCAGTAAGTAAATTACTGCTAGTGGTACTCTGACTGATGAAGAAGAAGGGTGGTGAACTTTCCGCCGGGCTGCAGCTTTTGCCTGTGGATCGGGAGGACATGTCTGGATTGGATTGGAAACCCGGCTCTAGTTTCCATTCCAATGGTCCCCCGTCCCCGGTCCATGGTACTTGCAGCAGCAGCAGTACCAGGCCAACAGTAGTGTACTCTCGACAGTACAAGTTAATCTTGATTATAACTTACTAAACAAGATTGTAGCGGCACGTAGCCTTGCATCTAGCTAGCCCCATCCATCCAACCCATGGGGCGGCACAGATCCCAAATGCACAGCTAGGGCACTTAAAAACGTGATAGGCCGTGGTGGTGGGAACCGGCCTTTGGTTTAGCTTAGCTTAGCTAGCTTGCGGCCATTAGTCAGTCAGTCGGATGGAGCCTGGTGCGCTCATGTGCGGTGATGCATCCAAAAGGTCCTCCCTACCAGTACCAGCACCCACACACACATGATACAGTCTAGTCTAGAGGGGAAAAGAATTGGGGCGCGGTGTATTTTAGATCTCCAGCCACCACGCATTAGAGTAGAGCCCTTTATTCCCATTGCTCCTCTGCCGCTGCGATTAGTTAATTGTTAATCAAAACTTGATTGGATCATTGGTGTTTCCTGGTAGCTAGCTTAGCCATGATTTGAGGCCATGCGGGGGAATAATTAGCGTCTTCATCACTGAGTGCGGCGTTCAAACACCCTGGTCGCTCGCTAGTGGCCGCCGTTGGGCCGGAGATTTGAACCATTTTTATAGTCGTCTCATATATATCTCGTAGCTTCGGCGACCAGGGCGCTACTGTTAAAGTAAGTACAGTACGTAGCTGCTTATGCAGCTGGTGGTGGCGTAAAAACGGAAATGCTTTGGTATTGACGGAAGTGAAAGAAAAGGACTGGCCATGGCTGGTTTCATTGAATTGAATGAGTGAATTCCGCTAGTGCGGAGTTCACATCAAGAAATGCAATTCCGTCCTGGCTGGACCGGGACGTGCGTGAATGTTGCGACACATCATCATCTGCTGGTGATGATTCCGTTCCGCTCATCTTGCCATCATCTTGATGTTTTAGCCTAGTGGAGTGAGGGGGACACTGACCTACTACTTTAACAAGAAGTTGCATCTGAAGAGAAAGATCTCGTGGTGAATGTCCTTGGATGGCATTTCCACTCACCGTTTTCTGATCTCCGACAAGTTCCAAGTCCAGTTAGGTCGTTACTGCAACTAGCTCGGAGTGGAGTGGAGTGACATGATTAATTGATTGATTGTTAGGCAATTAGTATATATATAATTGGCAACGGACTTATTTGGCCGTATTTGCCGGGATCCTCTATTATTTGACCGGAGGATTGAGCTAGCTCGTGCACGCATGTGTGGTTGAGTGAGTGAAAGCTCGTCAGCGAGATTCCCCCTGCCGCCACGATCTTCTTCTTTGCAACCGAACTCCGTGATTAGGAAGAAGCCTTTCTTCCGTATCATTTGTACCAACTGAAGTCTCTGCGTCCACATTGACCCGCATCGCATGCATGTGCAGAGGCCGTTTTGTCCGTTAATTTCCTACTTCTTCTTCCATGATCGTTGATTATTGAAGCTCTGCCATTTCATTTAGTATAAACAGTTGTTTGTCAATAATGGTGGTGATGCTAATGTTGGTTGCATGGGCATTGGGCAGGGAGATCATGCACGCGATGTGGAAGCCGGCCAAGTTCAAGTACATCTACCTGCTGGCGACGCTGTACGTGTTCACGCTGACGCTGCCGTCGGCGTCGGCCATGTACTGGGCGTACGGGGACGAGCTGCTGGCGCACGCCAACGCCTTCTCGCTGCTGCCCAAGACGGCGTGGCGGGACGCGGCCGTCATCCTCATGCTCATCCACCAGTTCATCACCTTCGGCTTCGCCTGCACGCCGCTCTACTTCGTGTGGGAGAAGGTGATCGGCATGCACGACACCAAGAGCGTCTGCCTCCGCGCCCTCGCCAGGCTCCCCATCGTCGTCCCCATCTGGTTCCTCGCCATCATCTTCCCCTTCTTCGGCCCCATCAACTCCGCCGTCGGCGCCCTCCTCGTCAGCTTCACCGTCTACATCATCCCCGCGCTCGCCCACATGCTCACCTACCGATCCGCATCCGCCCGCGCCGTAAGTTTCCTCTACTCCTTTACTCTTCTCTATCTATACATGTATTGCATTGCATTTCTTTTTTTGCATAGAGGAGGATCATACTGTAGTGTACTGGCTTTGAGAAGAAGCTTAATTAGCATGTTCTTGTTAGTAAATGCGTGATGCTGCCGTGCGCCTAATTTCTTTCTCATCACTGTAGGAAGAGTACTGGTACCACTGCTTTTTCTTTCTTTATTAGTAGATTAGAGATCCGACCAGCTTAGCCAATCATTGCCAATGGCATCGTCGATGGATGATTAAGGATGGGATGAGTGAGGCCGTGCATTGCCAGCTCCAGCTGCATGCATGCATGCATTGCATGGCCCGGTTCGCTTCATTCATCCATCCATCATCTCTTGGTAGCACACCACCACTGCACCAGCAGTCCAGTAGTACTACATCCATGGTCTGGTCCATCAGGCATCAACAGTGGCCCGGCCGATTCATCCATGGCGCATGAACAGCGGCCCGATTGCAACGCAACGCGCAGCGGAGGCAGAGAGACGTGCAATGGAATAGACAGTGGAGATCCGTGCACGTGCCACATGCACTGTTGACTGCACAGCCCCAGGTGGCCCCGCCTCCTGCTTAGAGCATGGTTAAGTCAGTGACATGTCATCTACAACCCATCTTATAGTCAACATCTACAATAGTAGATCAAAAGAGTGTACTATTTTTTTATTATGTGGACCACCTTTCATTCTCATAAAGTGCGTAGGAGCACGTGCTAAAGCTGGCTCTTCACGAAGAGCCCGCTTACCTTCTCTCTCCTCCTCTCTTTCCTCCAACTAAGCAGAAATATACTAGTTTATTCCTTATAGCCCGCTGACTCAGCTCTATTGTACTTGCTCTTAGGAGCGGCACTGCTACCACGAATCCCCAATCATTGAGTCCGGCCAACGGCCACATTAATCCGCCCCGACAACGATTTGGATCCTCGATCCCTCTCCTCCGTCTGCACCGTCCGTCCGTTGGTTCGGCCGTCGCTGCTATGGATCCATAGCTGCTACGGCATGGCGAATGGCGCTTAGCCATCACCCATGGTGTGTGTCAGTTCCAAGGGTTGGTGTCCCGAATTAGGAGGTTTCTCCCAGGCTTAGTACCATCCTACATATGGTCCATCCCGTAGGTGAGCCTGCCCTGAATGCAGCTATGGCTGGTCCCTCCCCGGCCGCACAGGAGAGCAGAGGGGAAGCATCCAAACCGTCCCTCCCTAGCAGAGACTTTTCAGCAACGGGGCCGATCGTGGGCTCGCCGCTGGCCGGGATGGATGGCGATCGTTGACATGGAGGGATCGGGATCTCCTGTTACTTTTGGCACGAGTCCCCGGAAGCTAGCCGCGCTACGGGGGCGCCGGTCGCCGTCGCGGCGTTGGCCCGGCGCGTCTGGACTCTGGCTGGCTGGCTGGACTGGCTTTTCGCACGGGTGATGGATGGATGGATAGATAGATAGCATGCGGCGCCGCTGGAGACGGACGTCGATCGATGGGGATATCGTGGCGTGGGTTGCGGGGTCCCTTTCTCTCCCGCTCTCGATTCCTTCCTTTTCTTCTTCAAGCTTTGCGGAAGAGAAATCGAATGTGGTTTGCAGTACGGACGATAGATAGATAGATAGATGGAGAGTATCTAGCAAACAACATTTATTTTGTGCAGCGGCGCGGTGGCTCCATTCCATGCATGTATCATCCATTTTTGATGCTCTGTGTTTTCTGATGATTTGTGACAATTGAACAGAACGCGGCGGAGAAGCCGCCCTTCTTCCTGCCGAGCTGGACGGGGATGTTCGTGCTCAACGCCTTCATCGTGGTGTGGGTGTTCGTGGTCGGCTTCGGGCTCGGCGGCTGGGCCAGCATGGTCAACTTCATCCGCCAGATCAACACCTTCGGCCTCTTCGCCAAGTGCTACCAGTGCCCCAAGCCCGGCGCCGCCGTCGCCCCGGGCCCCTCCTCGTTGCACCACTAGCTCCCTCGCCGTCGCCGCCCGGACCGTGAAGCTGCCATGCCACCGGCCGGCGGGAAGTCCGCAAGGAGCTCGAGAAGCTTCCCCTCCCACTCCCGGCAGCCGGCACGGCGGATCCAGTACTGTTGCTTGCTAGGTTTTGGTCGCCTTGTAACATACAAGCCTCGCCTCTCCTAGGGCGTCCGTCAGTGTCACACCGTAGTTGAACAGCAGGGTGACCGGGTCCCTAAGACCACGCCCGTTGCTTCCCCCTGCCAGATCCCTTGGTAGTACGTACGTACGTGTCCGTGTGTTTGTGTTTGGCTTGCCCCCACCAATATATATGTGATGGTCTTCATGGCTTATAAGATTTGCAGCTCATGAGACATTCCGTATGATGATGAATTGAATTGATGATGGTATTAACATAGCACTACTACTATCCTGTAGGGCTCTCGATCTGTTCCTTTTCTTCTTATTTTTACTCTCTTCCCCGCTGGAGCTTGCATGGTGCATGCTTGTAATGGAGACGATCGATCGATGTTGATTCCTCTTGCTGGCTAAAGGCAAAACACGGAGGCCTTTGTTTATGGGGTGCTCATCGGTGTAAATGTGGCGACTCCTCGCTGTTGGCGGCTCCCTTTCGGCCCGTGCCGCGTCGCTGCCTTCGGCCCCGGCCGGCCCAGCGAGCGATCATCGGATCTTCCCGGCGAAATTCTGAAAGGGGCGCCAAGATATGGTGGTGGTGGTGGAGGGCGGCGTGGGTCGGCGCGGGACATGATGGCGCGCACAACCGAGACCAAACATGCTTGCTTGTGAGGCTGCCCGAGAGTTCTAAAGATGGTACTCTACTGCTGCTGGCTTTGCATTGTGATCGTGACAACGACGACGGCGATACTGATTAGCGGCCCGTCTTATCACACCACACCCTCGTAGTACTACGCCGGTGGGTGAGGCTCGCTTTCGAGGATTGGACTCCACTCCACTCTACTACTGACCCCTATTGTAGTACGAACCATGTACGTACTGCACGCAAGATAATTATTATTGGCTTGTGCGTCGCAGCATCAAGAGGGAGGAGGGGCTTTGATTGCAGAGGAGAGAAGATTGCGCTTTAATTGGGCCATGTGGGAGCTGCAAATGGGGGACGGATTCCCTAATCGCCTCGGGCATCAGGCCTCCTTCAGATCACATGGCTGGCGGTGGCATGTGCCATCTTGACTGGTACCCCGCTCCAGATTTCCTCCCCTTTTGCCAGTGGTATCTTCCGACCGTCCTCGAGACCGGGGGTTCGGCATGTGCTTTCTATGAGTAGCTCACAGCGCACATGTCCTAATCTAACGCCAAGTTGCCCAGGGTTCCTCTTAATAATCATATGGCATGCTACCAATTAATACTTGCTTCGCCCTATTGATACCTGCCACTATCCGTTGAATGGAATCCCAGGCGAGAAAAGAATACTCGTACCAACTGTACCTGTCTACGGAGCTGTGCTTAGTGCGGACTGCTGTTTGCGGCCAAGCTGTAGGTGATGCCAACATATGCCCATATACCGGCGTGGCTGACGCGCCTGATTTTGCGACCGCTTGTGCTGTCTGACTATTTTTACCAAACCTTTCGTTTAGGGTAAAGGTAGGCGATAGCTTTCTTTTTAGGTGCATCTAGATTCCAAAGCACAGACCAGAAACATCATAGGCAAGCATAACATCCATTACCGAGGCAAATAATCATGTCAGGGAGGAGAACCAGCTAAAACACATCCACATCTTTTGCTCACAGCACAGGGAAAGTGTCCTACGATAGCAACAATGCATCTTTCCTAAAGCTCGTATGCCTTTGAACAACAAACGGAAGTATCATATCAGATCGCGAGAGAAAGCTCAGAAGGTAACTTCTAGGCCTATGGTTGGCTGCATACGCCACTGCCCAGCCCAATGGTCAATACCGCAGTACTTTTTTGGATGTCAAATACTGCAGATACTAAGGACACTTGACTCGTCATAGAAAAGCTATATCTCAACTCAACTGGTCTAAACATACTTGGAACCAATCACAGACAAAACATTTAGAGAAGTCCCATGTTTGCTCATCTAGAGAGGGCACAACTGCGCAATTGTTAACGACAGATTTTTTAAAAATTTTTGAAGTCTGTTATAATGAAGCAGGGCAGTTCATCTAACAAGCAGTTTGAATTCCAATGAACAGCGTCAACACGGTAAATCATGTTAAGAACACGTCACAGAAGTACTTGAATGTAGGGGAAAGCGGTGAAACTTTTACTTTGAAACAGCAGAACTACCAACATATATAGCACGTTTTAATACCCACGAGCAGACCACCAAATGTCCATCCAGGACTGAATCAGCTTAACCAAAACCTTGGGATTCCAGAGTCGCGCTCAGCCGCAGTACTATTGTTGGGCAGTCTCTGTATTCTGTTTGAGAACTCGTTTGCCTGTGAACAATTGAGGAAAAGGAGAATCAATAATGATTTTGCATCAGCCCATCCGACCTACTAATCCCACCAAATAAGCACTGTTAAAAGAACATATGCATATAACACCAAACCTAACAACAAGTGAAGAACAAAAAATTGGGACCAAGTTTCTCTTATTCCATTCATAGGAAAGATTTCACCAAAACCATGAAAGGATGGTATGGAGGAAAAAGCAGGATTCCGCAGAACAGTACATGAAGATACAGGGATAAGCTTCCAGGATTTGCTCAGAGGCAACATTCTATCCGACAGTGTCAACACAGGAATCAAGTTCGTAAGCTCAACAGCAGGATTCTATTGTATCATAGCAAAAAATACTGGAAAAAATTATTCTGTGTCATATCAGCATTATTGGTAGCGCCTATATTCTCAAAATGTAGGACTGTAGGGATGCGGAAGGTATATATTGAAGAAATAGACAGATCAATAAAAATATTAGCCGAGCACAATGCAAGCTAACACCTTCAGAACACATCAGAAATTATTGAACAAAAACAGGAAACGCGGCACAATTATTATTATTTTATTACCCCCAAATGTAACTAGCATTTGCAAGCAGACCGTGTGGATGTGATGAACAGAACATTGAACTAGTCTAAAACATTTTAAAGATAAAATAATTTAAGATAACCCCCTGAACTTTCCCAGCGAGATAATGAAACTTCAGCCCCCTGAGATGGTTTTGCACCGCAGTTTAGACTTCCTAAACTCTTTTTTTTCAATAAACAACCACCCAAAACCGCCTCGAGAGGTTAAACTATCGGTTTTGTATGTTCAGGAGGTTGGGTATCTCACATCATAGTGTAAGAAGTTATGTAGGCCAAGCATCAAAGTTCAGGGAGTAATCTGGCTTTTTCCAAATATTAATGAACAAACAGTCACAAAAAGGAAAACCTGACCTTCTCATCAATCCACATTAGAGAGCGCAGTTGATTATCCAGTATTCGGACAGCAACATCAAATGGTGCCATGGTATCCGTAGCCTCAAGCTCACCACCCTGCATTGGACAAGGAGACTCAAGCAATGCTCATCACAAGGCAAATGTTACAATCTGGATATTTACCTGAGTAGAATTCATGGTCTGAATGATGGATTTCACTTGTTCTGTCATATGCTGCAACTCATTCTCCACAACTTCAGCTTGCTCGTACCTTTGCATTGCCAAATAATTTGGTTAGAGATTTTGTTTCTGAAATAAGTTGTATCATTTGTTTACTGGAGATTAAAAAGTCAAACTAAACCCAAGACTAAAATAAGAAGCTAAAACAGCCAAAATACATTGAACTAACATTATATCCCTTGCCGAGGCAGCCTCATCTTCACGAAGTAAGACCCGTTCATCCTGGAATATACGCTCGGCTTCCTCCTCCATGCTCTGCAGAGCCTTGTCCACCTGCAATTATAAAACATGTAGGTTGTAAGTACAAAGCTCAATAATTAATCTCTGCAGGCTCACCCTATATGGATAAGTCGCTAAGAAGACTAATCTCGAAGTCTGGTAGTCTCGGTGACCAGAAAATTCCAGCGCATATGCACTCACATCAGTTCTATCAGATTATCAATATTGCGCCTGCGAGTAACCTGTTTCCCACCAAAACCATGTGACAGTCCAACACTATTATTGTATGTATAAGAAACGTTTACTTCTTGAGCAGTGTGTATTAAACAATTTGATAGACAACCTAGCTGTAAGTCAGTTCAGCGTGTTAAGCAAAAATCTGCAATGCAAATTCTGAACAAGCATGACAATCCTCACTCAACTGAACTTCCAATTGGTAAATTGACAGACACAAATGTACAATCAATTAAATGACTGTGTGATGGCTAACTAACATACTAAGTAAATAACACATTCAACAGAGGGCCTAATTGATTATGCAATTAAATCGTCCGATGGGAGCTGTGCTAAAAATTACAAAAAAAATGTGCATCTAACCCTCAACAAGGTGGCTTTTGTTGGTGACATCACTTAAAAACCATCGACATGACTTTAAACATCAGAAATTTATTAGAAAAATGCACAAAATTCTTGTAAAGATAAAACCTCAATCAGGCAATTCTGTATCATTATTATAGTTATAAACCACAAATCTTAGATACAATCTACGAGATATTTAAACACACAAGATTAGAAAGAGACATCAGGCTATCAGGCATAAAAACATCTCTGGTCGACATATATCTCAAACCAATTTTATCCAACAACATAAGTACATGATGGACTAAAATGAAGGAATGATCTCTCCCAGGGCAGCTTATAAATAGCTCCCTCTAAAGTTTGCAAAGTTTGACTTTTCAAAAAATCTATACGCGCTACATTATGGAATGGAGGTAGTATATCATATGAAGGAAAGCAGACAAGTAGAATATTTGTGTTTAGAGATCAAGTAGAATGAGACACAAAACAAACACAAAGAAAACTAACTTGTAGCTAATATATGAGCAGACAAGAAAAAGTTCACACACACACACACACACACCTCTTTCTGATGAGTTTCTATCAACTCAAGTTGCCTCTCCAAGCTTGTTTGTGTTTCAACAACTTTGGCCACATCAGCCTGCAACAGGTCAGCATTCAAGATGAAACATAACGATGAAAATTTAGTGTGAACATCATGATTCAAGAGAGAATCTGCTATGTACTGATCTGAAACACATCAAATGGACTCTAGATGAACAACTAGAGTTGATTAAGTACTGGTTTCTATTTATTTTCGTTTCGAATCAACTACAAATATTTTAGATTGCTTATTTTGATGATGGAACTAATTGACTTATTAACGCCCCACCTTTAGGTCCAAATACTGTTATGTTAAGTAACGGAACACAAATTTGTGAAACTGATACTAAGAATGTAGCACCATGCCATGTTTACCCTGGTTAATGATAGAACCATCACTACTTGGCATTGGTCCAATTGGAACAAGACAAGTGGTTGGAGACAACGCGTATGGCTGTCAATAATTTGAAATTTTACCTAAAAGGTGCATACTGACAAGTATTGAAACAAGTCTAAGGAGCTGAAACAACAAATAAGTTGAACCGGATGTAGCATTGACATAGGAACAATCAGCTCATCCTATAGTATTTACGATATACGTTAACACAATTTAAGATTCTCTCCCTTCGTAAGTCATAACATCTGGCTAGAAACCTGGATAAGCCTAAATTGCACTACATGATACTCCCTACATCCTCAATGTAGGTCGTTTTAGCCATCCTCAATGCAATGCTTTTAACATAAAACAATGGAATGTGTAACATTTCTGTTAACCACTATCTTCAACAAATGCATTAGTTGAAAAAAACTACAAAATCAGCAAGTATATATATGTACTTTAAAGAGCTTCAGGTAGACCTAAAAGCAAAAGCTTGCATGAACTGAACTAGAAAACAGAACTGTAATGGGACATACTCTCTGTTCTCAGTTCATATTATAATTCAGTAAAAGAGCTGGCGCTCCCACACATAACATTAATGGACGTTTAATACAGACAAAATTGGCTAAAAGGCATACCTCAAGCCTTATAAGAACATTCCTGTTTTGCAGAATTCTCCTGTCCCATTCAGATATGGCAGTTGCATGCTTCCGGAACTTTGCAGTGCGGTCTTGAAGACCATTGTTCCAGTCCCTAATAATCTATAATAGGTAGCTCCATGAGACTTCAATACCAAAATATCACTAGCTTACTGCGCATCTAAGGTGAAGATGTTCAGAAAGCACAGTAGAAGATCAATCCAGCCTGGAAGAAACGACAGTACTCGAAAAAGATAAGTGCAATACCTCCTCGACACATTTACCAACAATTTCTGACGGAAGCTTAGCTGCTTGAGGTGCTGCTGGAGTGATGGCACTCGTACTAGCTCTGCAGAAAGAATACAAGAGGAACATTGTAGAAAATGTTAAAACCTTGCTATGCAAGTGCAGTAACAAGTCATCGTAGAAATAAACTGAGGGGGGATGTACAACCCAGTGCTGCTAGCTTGAATAGCTGAGGAAGTCGCCTGACTTGTGGTGGCGATGGTGGCTAGTGTGCTTGCAGCTGTAGTAGAACCGCCTGTGGAATACACACACTTAATACGCTCAAGATTGCCAAAGCTGTCACTTAGGAAATTAGTAAACAGACATAGTGGAACAAAAACTGCCAAGGTTACAAAGAACTAAATGGGTACTGAAAGCAATAAGTAGTTCAGGATATGTATACTATGCGCTATTGAGACCTAATTGTTCGGTGTAGTGTATAGTATGCTTGAGCTAATCTAAACACAAGACACCGAAATGCAAAAGGTACTGAGCATGAAGAAATGTATCTCACCAAGCAGTGTAGACTGAGCTGCCGAAGTTGAGCCAGGAGCTGGTGTGGAAGCTTGCAAGCTAAAACTAGGAAATGCAGTTGTTGTGGTAGAAGGAGTCGTGGCTGCAGAAGTAGTGATAGTGGTGGCAGTGGTTGTAACTGCTGCAGCTGATGACGCCTGCGGGACTGTAAAGCTGAAACCGCTAGCGGAGAACAATGATGACCCCGAGGTTGCAGGGGCAGGGGCAGCCGCAGCTGATGGAACAGTGGATGCACTCGTTGCGGAAGCAGAACCAAACGTTGGCGTGGGAGTAGCAAAAGATGCACCGAACGGGGAGCTAAGAGAGGTCGCCGACGAGCTTGCAGCTGCACCAGTATTAGAGAACAATGACGGAGCAGATGCAGCCTGCGAAGTGGCCAAGGAGAAACCACTGGCGGGCGCAGAGGCAGGCGTGGTGGGAGCAGCGGATGCACTGTTGGAGAACGAGAAGGCAGAGGCTGAAGAAGCACCCGAGAACAAGGAAGAGGCGGTGCTGGCCGTCGTTGTGCTTCCTGATGCCGGCGTGAAACCAAACGACGGAGCAGAGACAGTTGTTGCTGGCGCTAATGAAAAGCCAAGGGATGGCGCGGTCGTGGCAGTGGTTGCAGGAGACGAGGCCGCGGCACCGAACAACGGCGCCGTGGAGGTAGATCCAAACAAGGACGAGCCACCAGTGGCGGCCCCAAACAGAGCCGGTGCCGAAGCCGAGGTAGTAGCGGTGCTAGATGCGGCGGGCGCGCCGAAGCCGAATGACGGTGTCGAAGCGGCGGCGGAGCCTGATGCCGATGAGCCAAAGCCGAATCCCGTGGCGGCGCCAGAGAAAAGGCCAGGCGTGGACGGAGCGGAAGAGACGGCGCCGAATATACTGGGGGTGCTGGCGGCGGCGGTGGTCGCACCGAAGAGACCTGGTGTGGCCGCGGGGGAGGAGACGGCCCCGAAGAGGCTCGGGGTGGTGGCCGCAGACGAGGTGGCCGATGCACCGAAGGGGCTGGGGGTGGTCGTGGCGGCCCCGAATATGCTAGGCGTGGTTGCCGCGGCGGAGGTGGCGGGTGCGCCGAAGAGGGGTGAGGCGGACGCGGTGGCCGCGGGCTGAGAGAACCCGAAACCAGTGGCCCCGAAGCCGAAAGCGGACGGGGAGGAAGCGGTGGCGGTGGCCGGAGCGGACGCGGAGGCGGGGGTGGATCCGAAGAGGGATGAACCAAAAGCCGGAGCAGAGGAAGCGGTGGTCGCGGAGAAGGGGGACGAACCGAATGCGGGGGCGGGGGACGAGCCGAACGCGGGGGCGGGGGACGAGGAGAAGGCGGATGGGGCGGTGGAGAAGGAGAAGGGGGAGGACGAGGTGGATCCCGCCCCGCCGGAATTGCCGAACGCGAAGGAGGTCGCCATGGCTGCGACGGCGTGCGTGCGGCCGCCGATTTGGGGCGGATTGCTTAGGTTTTAGCGTGGTTTTGCTGCTGACCCCTTAGCGGATGAGGCTTGAGGGATTTCCTTGTAGGTGCCTTTCGAAATATAGGGTTTACGAGGGGGAGAGAGGAAGTAGATTTTTCTAGACCCACGCATACACTCACCTCTGCTATACACACACTCTATTTCTATATAAGGGCATTTCTAACCGATACCTAAAAAATAGCGAAGTATCCCGCCTGGTATCCAGCAGAGACCCCTGCAATAAGCCAACTCACAATGTGTCTCATACAGTCATACTAGAGAAAATTAATACAGTTTTATGTTAAACGTGATGTGGGTGTAACATTAATGTGAAATATTAGAAGTTACATAAATGAACAAAATCCAGGTAGTTAAGTCCACACAAAATAAACATAAGAAGAATCGGCATCATGGTATATCACTATGTACGAAATAGTGTGCATAGTAGGAGCAATCATGGGCGGAGACAGGGCGGCTGCCTCGGCCGTGAGGCCCATCTTGCATGTACAATATAGCAAATATACTGTAGCAAAGCTAAGGCGGCCTGGGGCGTGAGGCCCATTCTCAAAAAGTTGTTCGCTTGTGCGTCGACTTGGAGTCTTGGACGAACACAACCAATCGGCTGCCCGCCGCCCGTTCCCCGACTTGGACGAACCCTAGGCGTCAGGTGGTTGTGTGGCCTACGTCCCTACCCGCCGGCGCAACTCGCCGCCGCCGACTGTCGGCTGCCGTCGTACCTACCCAACCGGCCAGCTCCGTCCCCTTCGATCCCCTTCTGTGGCATCAAGTTGCGGCACTGCGGGCTGCTGCCCTGTCCGACAAGGCGGCAGGCTGCCCGACAGCTGGCAGGCTGCAGCACAGAGCAGACAACAAAGCAGGAGCAAAGGTATCCTTCCTAGTTCTCTTCGATGTATAGCTCTGTTCGGTGGAGGCGTGGAGCGTTGTTCTGAACTTCTGATGTATAGCTTTAGGAACTGGGAATGTAGCAGTATCTGTCATGTAGCAGGCTACTCCAGATTAGTCCTAATCTTGTAAGCATGGCCCCCTCACTTAGGATTCACTAGATAACCTACATTCCATTGTTGTTGCTTGCATTTTACATTGATTTATGTCAACTGAAACTGTTTATCTCAACCACAATGTTAAGAAATTAGGTCGAACTTACTAAGTGTATCCGGTGTGTGTTTAGTATTTGACCTATGTGCATCTATGTAACGGGTTCATTAGGTAGAGTTCCTTGTATGTTCACTGTATTTTGAAACGAGGTTATGACAATTTCAACAGTCTGGAGTGTACTATTGGGCTTTCTATATATCCAGTTCTCCACTTGCCACTTGGCGGCCTGTGATTTGGGCAAGACTAGCAATCTTTCACAATGTTTGCAATTAAAAATCATTATATTGTACTTGTTGTGGGATTGATTAAAACCACATTGGATATAAGTCAGAATGGTTGGGATGAGTTTTGTAAAGAGGTAACAGACTTTTGTGTCAAATACAACATTCGCTACAAAAAAAGACACATCCGTGACATTTTGGACCGAACGAAATTTTTTTCTGTCATACATATGACACTTCTATGACGATAATTGTGACAAAACCCGGTATCATCATAGATGTGGTGGGCTCCTACTTCTATGACAAAAAATCATGATAGAAAATGGGTTTTTCGTCCTGGGCGGGCCGGAGACGCGGCTGCATGACATTCTTTGGGTCGTCCATGACGAAAAAAACCGTGGTAGAAGCGAGGGCGAGGAAAATTTCAGGGAGTTCCCGGTTACGGTGGATGGTCGGGGGCCGAGCGATGCACGTTTCTCTCATACACGTACGCGCGTGTGTGCGAGACGTTGGCTCTAACTGAACCCGAGCGAGGCGTTGGGCTCTAACCGAACCCGAGCGATTGCACTGCAGGCTACGCGGTACTGAACCCGAGCGATCGATTCCTTCACTACTGCTGCTAACTGAAGCCGATCGATGCTGCCTCTCTGGATGAATAGTGAGCGTTGCGGGGGGTTTTGGATGAACAGTGAGCCGTGGGAGTGGATGAATAGGACCTGTGGCGTTGCCTCTGGGTGAATAGGACCCCGATCGATCGAGCCGGTTGGGGCTGGATGAACAGGACCCCGTGGAGGGCTGGATGAACAGAACGACCCCGTGGAGGGCTGGATGAACAGTAGACGGTGGAGGGGTGGTTAAACAGTAGCCGGTGGAGTAGCGCGTGGTGGAGGCTGGATGAACAGGAGCCCGTGGATGAACAGTCGCATGTGGAGGCTGGAGGAGGTCGACGGTGGATGAACAGTAGCCCGTGGAGGCTGGAGGAGGTCGACGATGAAGATGAACAGTATCTCGTGGAGTCCCGTTTTGCGGTACGCCACACCCCTCCCGATAAACAGGACCCCCGTTTCGACCGTAGCGCTCCAACACAAGTCTGTTTCGTCCGTTTTGCGGTACGCCACACCCCTCTCGATCAACAGGACCCCCGTTTCGATCGTAGGAGGTCCGTTTCGTCCGTTTTGAGGTACGCCACACCCCTCCCGTTTAACAGGACCCCTATTTCGACCGTAGGAGGTCCGTTTCCTCCGTTTTACGGTACGCCACACCCGTCCCAATCAACAGGACCCCCGTTTTGACTGTAGGAGGTCCGTTTCCTCCGTTTTGCGGTACACCAGACCCCTCCCGATGAACAGGATCCCGTTTCGAACGTGGCCGGTCGAACACAAGGCCGTTTCCTCCGTTCTACCGTACGTCATGCCTCGTTTCCATCGCCTGTTCCGTCCAAGCCCTCCTGATGAACACGACAACGCATTCCGTTCCGACCCAGTCGGTTGGCTCCCCATGAACACGACGATGATGCTGTTTCTCCATTCCGACCCAGCCAATGTACACGAGCCCTGGCCGTACGTATATGCGCGAGTAGGCGTTCGAGACCCCGCCCGTATGTACACATATGTGGCCGTATTTTCTTTCTTGCACCCTGGCCTTTGTATGTATGTGTACATGCTACGTGCGCGCCTCTACTACGACACGTGTGCGCCTCTACATCGACCAGTATATATGTACGTACACGTTCGCAACCAGAATGACAACGCTACGTACGCTTCGACGAGGTGGGTCCCGACTGTCAGGCACTTCCTTGCGTGCGAAGATGTAGCTAGTGGGTCCCAGTAGTCAGGGGGCGAATCGTTTTTTTTTGCCCAGACGCACTTCCTTGCGTGCAAAGATGTAGCTCGTGGGTCCCAGTAGTCAGGGGGAACGTTTTTTTCGTGAAATACGGTGGCCCGTCCGGTGGGTCACCGCTGTCAGGTGGAGGAATAATTATTTTCCATGTAATAAAGAGGCACTTCCTTGCTGCGACCATGGACCCAGCTATCAGCCTCTCCACGTATAGTCCACGTCCGATGGAACTCGTTCCTTAACCATGTTGATGTTGGAAATATGCCCTAGAGGCAATAATAAAAGTATTATTATATTTCCTTGTTCATGATAATTGTCTTTTATTCATGCTATAATTGTATTATCCGGAAATCGTAATACACGTGTGAATACATAGACCACAATATGTCCCTAGTGAGCCTCTAGTTGACTAGCTCATTGTGATCAACAGATAGTCATGATTTCCTGGCTATGGACATTGGATGTCGTTGATAACGGGATCACATCATTAGGAGAATGATGTGATGGACAAGACCCAATCCTAAGCCTAGCACAAAGATTGTGTAGTTCGTTTGCTAGAGCTTTGCCAATGTCAAGTATCTCTTCCTTTGACCATGAGAGCGTGTAACTCCTGGATACCGTAGGAGTGCTTTGGGTGTATCAAACGTCACAATGTAACTGGGCGACTATAAAGGTGCACTACAGGTATCTCCGAATATATCTATTGTTTTATGCGGATCGAGACTGGGATTTGTCACTCCGTGTAAACGGAGAGGTATCTCTGGGCCCACTCGGTAGGACATCATCATATGCGCAATGTGACCAAGGAGTTGATCACGGGATGATGTGTTACGGAACGAGTAAAGTGACTTGCCGGTAACGAGATTGAACAAGGTATTGGATACCGACGATCGAATCTCGGGCAAGTAACATACCGATAGACAAAGGGAATTGAATACGGGATTGATTAAGTCCTTGACATCATGGTTCATCCGATGAGATCATCGTGGAACATGTGGAGCCATCATGGGTATCCAGATCCCGCTGTTGGTTATTGACCGGAGAACGTCTCGGTCATGTCTGCATGTCTCCCGAACCCGTAGGGTCTACACACTTAAGGTTCGATGACGCTAGGGTTATAAAGGAAGCTTGTATGTGGTTACCGAATGTTGTTCGGAGTCCCGGATGAGATCTCAGACGTCACGAGGAGTTCCGGAATGGTCCGGAGGTAAAGATTTATATATGGGAAGTCCTGTTTTGGTCACCGGAAAAGTTTCGGGCGATATCGGTATTGTACCGGGACCACCGGGAGGGTCCCGGGGGTCCACCAAGTGGGGCCACCTGCCCCAGAAGGCTGCGTGGGCCAAGTGTGGGAGGGGACCAGCCCCTAGGTGGGCTGGTGCGCCCCCCACAAGGGGTCCAAGGTGCAAGAGAGAGTGGGAGGGGGCAAACCCTAGTCCAGATGGGCCTTAAGGCCCACCTAGTGGGCGCCTCCCCTCTCTCCCCCTCTTGGCCGCCTCCCCAAGTCCCATCTAGGGCTGGCCGCACCCCTTGGGGTGGGAAACCCTAAAGGGGGCGCAGCCCCTTCTCCCCTATATAAATAGAGGCCTGGGGATGCCCATAACAGATGAGAACTTCTCCTCTCGTTGGTGCAGCCCTGTCTCTCCCTCCTCCTCCTCTCCCGTGGTGCTTGGCGAAGCCCTGCTGGATTGCCACGCTCCTCCATCACCACCACGCCGTTGTGCTGATGTTGGATGGAGTCTTCCTCAACCTCTCCCTCTCTCCTTGCTGGATCAAGGCGTGGGA